ATGGGTCAGAATTTCCTGGTTCTTCTTACCTTAGGTAGTTCTGGATTATCATCTGTACATCATAAAATATTAGGTTATAAAAATACCGGATTCTCAGGGCACCTGGGTGGTTCAGTCAGTTAAGCATCCGACTCTTGATTTCAGCTCAGGCCGTGATCTCATGGGTCATGGGATTGAGCCCCATGTGGGCTCCACACTTGGGGGAGTCTGCTTCTCTCCTTCTCCCTCTCCCTCTGTCCCTGCACCCCCCACACACATATGTTCTCTCTCTCTCTCAAATAAATAATCTTTATAGAAAAATACTGGATTCTCTTATTTTTCTCCATTGAATGCTCCTTCATTGGAAATGAAGCAATTAACTTTTCCAATTAACTGGGTTAGAACGCAAACTGTTTCTTGTGTTACAGCTCCAATCTCAGGTCAACTTTTTTTCTTTGCTCTAACTGCTTTGTGTTTGCTTCACTCATGTGAACATATCCAAGGTTCAACCAGAGCTTTTGGCAAATAGGAATTGGGATCTCCTCTTTCATGTTTTCTTTCCAAGATCACCTCACCCCTCCCCCCGACAGCGGTAGTTGGCCCAGCCATCAGTCCTCTGGTTTCCTCTTCCAGAAGCACTGTGGTTCCCCTGCCACCCAGCACCGCACACAGTTGACTACAACTGCCCAGAACTTAAAAACTTTGAAAACAGGGCACTCTAAACAATTTGCCTCCTCTGAGTGTGGACTCCTCTCCAGCATCCTCCTACTTCTGTTCACTCTCTGGAACCCTCACATAGCTACTTTTTTGAAGTTTACACTAGTTTTCTGGAGGAGAGTCAGTTTGGCAGGATCTCACCCGGCCATTATTGGCTGTACATATTTAAGGCGCATGGGTTCAGGAAATTCTTATACCAAGAATTTGATTACCATATAGCAGTGTCTGAGGACAAATCAGAAAATGTGTTTAGGTCCTTACAGGAAACCCAGAGTACAATAACAATTTCTTTTACACATGAATAAGACATCATATGAGGAAGATATACTTCTAAAGATATGTTCCAGAGACTTTTTCTCCCCTAAACTAGAGGTATATAACCAGGCATAACATAAAATTCCATTAACTTCTTTGATAATGAGATAACGAAGCTGATACCAAGTTTAGGGCCAGCAAAAACCCCAGGTCCTTCCACCCAAAGGTATAATCCAAAAGCAGTAATAAGACAAATATTTGGGGGCGCCTGGGTGGCTCAGTTGGTTAAGCCACTGCCTTCGGCTCAGGTCATGATCCTGGAGTCCCAGGATCAAGTCCCGCATCCGGCTCCCTGCTCAGCAGGGAGTCTGCTTCTCCCTCTCCCGCTCCCCCCTCTTGTGCTCTGTCTCTAAAATAAATAAATAAAATCTTTAAAAAAAAAAAAAGACAAATATTTTTTTAATGGTGGTGATAGTCACACAACATAAAATAACCATTTTATAGTGGACAATTTAGTGGCATTTCTCACATTCACAATGTTGTACAACTATCACCTCTATCTCCAAAACTTTTCCATCACTCCAAAATAAAATCTTACTCCCGGTATGCAATTACTCATTCCCTCCTCCCCCACTTTCAAGACTATGGCAACCACCACTCTGCTGTCTCTATGAATTTACCTGTTCTGGATATTTCATGTAAGTGGAATCATAATATGTGACCTTTTACATCTGACTTCTTCCACTTACTATAGTGTTTTGAAGGTTCATCCACATTATAGCATGTAGTAGTACCTCATTCCTTTCTATGGCTGATAATACTCTCTTATATGTATGACCACAATTTGTTTATCCATTCACCTGTTGATGGACATGTGGGCTAGTTCCACCATTTGGCTATTGTGACTAGTGCTGCTATGAACACCAAATTTCTTTTGTTTCTTTGTTTTTTATTGTTAAAAATATGCATAACACAACATTTACCATTTTAACCATTTTTAAGTGTACAATTCATTGCATCAAATACATTCAGTATTATGCAAGCATAACCACAACCAATCTCCAGAACTATTTCATCATCCCAAACAGAAACTCTGTTTTATTTTTTTTTTTTTTAAGATTTTATTTATTTATTTGACAGAGAAAGAGACAGTGAGAGAGGGAACACAAGCAGGGGGAGTGGGAGAGGGAGAAGAAGACTTCCTACATAGCAGGGAGCCTGATGAGGGGCTCAATCCCAGGACCTTGGGATCATGACCTGAGCTGAAGGCAGACGCTTAACAGCTGAGCCACCCAGGCGCCCCAGAAACTGTTTTAAATGTTTAAACATTCCCTCTTCTCCCTCAGCTCCTGGTAATCACAGCTCTACTTTCTTCTCTATGAAATTTAACAAGTCTAGATACTTCAAATAAATAAAATCACACCCTGGTTGTCCATTTATGCTTAGCTATTTCACTGAGCATAATGTTTTCATGGTGAAAATCAAAACTTTTTATAAAACAAAAATATACATTTTATATGCAAAAAGGACTCAAGTTTAACACTGTAATCAAACAGCACCAACGTCATCAATAACATGTACAAAGCAACTTTTGTTGAAATCACTTCATTCATTCCTCACAACTGCCCTGTGAGGAACCAGGTTCAGAGAAGACATAAGTCACTTGCCCAAGGATAGGCAACTTGTAATATAAACATGCACACAAAGATCTTCCAACTCCATTCCCAAACTCCTGGTCCTTTTTACTTTTTTTTTATTTTTTTGAAGATTTTATTTATTTATTTGAGAAAGAGAGAGCACATGAGCAGGTGGGGGGGGGAACCGAGGGAGAGGGAGAAGCAGGCTCCCCGCTGAGCAGGGAGCCCAACACAGGATCAGTCCCAGGATCCCGAGATCATGACCTGAGCTGAAGGCAGGCTCTTAAGCAACTGAGCCACCCAGTCGCCCCAATCCCAATCCTTTTTAATTGACAGGATCAGCTGCCTCATAGCCCAATACCACACCACTCATAAGGATGGTCAGGAGAGACCCATGTGGAAGGGACAGCCAGGGAAGGCTCCAAGGACAAGGAAGATTTTGAGATAGAACTTGATAAACTAGCTTTTGCTAGAAAGAGAGAAACACAATGGGCATTCTAGGCATCATCATGACCATCAGGGACCTGGGTGCAGATGAGCCTGGGTACTGGGCAAGGAGGAAAGAAGCAGGATATGGATAGGAACAGGGTGTATCCTAATCAAATTTGAGAAGCGCTTAGAAGACTCCTATCTTTCATTCCCATCTATAATGGATTATCTTAAACAAGGACATTTGTTCTTCTTTTTTCCTGCTTTAGCAGAACACAGAGATAAATAACATTTCAGCCAAAAGCTACATGTGCCCCTAGAGCTTCCTAGCTGGCACTGACTGCCGGTCGGCACCGTCTTTTTTCACTGCATCCCGGACTGAGGCCGGATGTGGAAGGGATGAATATCACTTCACACACATTGCAGCCAAAATCCTGATTGAAATCAAGTAAGCACTAAAGGGATTTTGATTCATTTATTCGCCAACTTATGCCATAGGCTACCTACACCCTTAAGATTCATTTCCACAGAGCAGAAAATAATAAAAGCAAAAAATAGCCTCAGCTGTGAATGCTACCCCAACCGTAGTTTTCGAGAATTTGTTTCATCTTTTCCAAAAAACATACTTTTATTTTATAGAGGAAATCATCTTTAGGAAGAAAACTTATGATTTTGATCACTGGGGGCAACACTGCTGAAGATCTAAAGACATTTAGTTTTACAATCACTCCTATCAAAAGAAGTTGTAAAAAAAATTGTTTATTACAAAAACAAAAAAAATAATGACAGGAGTAAAAAATAAGCATTTTTCAATCTGTGGATATCAACCATTCATAAGCAGAAAAATCATAATTTGGTATTAATAAAATGGTGTCTTTATCAAGATTAAATAAGAAAGACTTTTTGGACAACTCTGTATATCAATTGATGATACAGCAAAATAGTGCCAACAGATGAATCAGGGAAAAAGAAAAAGTTAAAATATCTTAGCCTCAGTACTAGAGACCCAATAAAGTCACAGATTTGAAAACTAAACACCAAGGTTCATTTTCCCTTTAAAGGAAGTTTTCTTTGTCATATACAGAATATAATTTATTAAAAGAAATTTATTAACCTTTAAGCCCCATATAATTGAAAACTGGAGGAAAATATTTTAGTGCACACTTAATTTTCTATATTTAAAAAAAATGTTTTTAATGAAAGTATTTAAAATGAAAGTTTAGACTGTAAATAGCCTGGCACTCACAGAACATGAACACAGAAGATCCACATCTCAACCCTAAGCTATTTACGATAAACACCTATATAAGGAACAAAACTAAAACTTCCATATCATTTTACCCCATAAAAGATGTAGCAAACACAGACAAGGCTATTATTTACACCAAAAACAAATGAGGTCCTTGGACTAAGCAGAAACTATAAGATAATCAGACAGAACACCTAAAAAATAAAACATGCCTTCCTAAATATTTTTTTAGGAATGTCCAGTTTTGCTTGCTTCCTCTGCTTAAGATAGTTATATTCATTTATCACAGGGTCAGATGAACGTAAAGGGAACTACCAAGCAATAGTTACAATCATGGTTAGAAAACAAACAGAAATGTAACCAGAAAAATAATAATAGTCCCTAATTTCAGTTTCTAACTCACAACCCCAGCCCCCTCTCCCTCCCAAAAAAGGCAGAAACTTTTCAAATAAAGATTAAGAGTTGGTGAATTTAAGGGAAATGCCACTCCATGGTATTACCTAAGTACTAAAAATGAGTTAACACAATGAACAGGAACAAAGCAGTACTTTGGTATTATGGCGCCACCCACTGGCTAGAAGTCCTCATAGCAAATATGAAATCCAACCATTAAAAAAGAGATTATTGGAGTAGGAAGGAAAATATTCTAATTCATTACACCATCAGGAACTTCTAACAAAAAAGAACCATCCATATTATTTATTACCACTAAGAAAGAGAGTAACTGCTAAATATATTCACAAGGGTAAATTTTATTATTTTTGAAATGCAAGTCTACAATCTCCAAAAGCTAGGACTTAATCTTAAGAGTCAAAACAATTAATATATAAAATGTCCTTTCAGCCCTGTAACTGAATATATAAATACAGTCTTAAGCAGAAGATGCACACTTGCATTTCACTGCTAAGAAATTCTAATATCCATAATATATTTAAATGTTAATACAATGTAAGTTAGCCCCACTTCCACCTTTACCAGAGAAGTAAAGAATACAAAGAAAAAAGGACATGTCCAAAAAACTGGACTGAAAAACACAGTTTCTCAAAAAAATGTCCTAAGAAAGACCATTCAGATAAACTAGCATAAATATTGGCTTTAAAACAGCACCTTTATAGTCCAAAATATATTCACTTTAATACAATCTCCATTTCCTCCAAATAACATCATTTCTGCCTTTCCAAACAGTTCTCTTCTTAAATGCTAACATTCTAAAAATCTCATCATGAAAAATATCTGAGAGTCATTTCTCCTCAAGGATAACCTTCCCTGGTAACACTCAGAGCCACACATAAAGGCTTGATGTCCTTTTTAGAGTCCATAGGACCCTGCTAAAAGTTGATCTCTAAAGACCGCTACTCAGAATTCCTCTACAGATATGACCTGCTCTTCTAATTCAGAATTCATGAATATGCTCCAAGCAGTCAGTATAAGCTTCAAGTTTCTTTGGCTTAATGATCATTATCATCTGGTCTGCAAAGCCAAGGTCTTTGCTTGCTCAGAGTTGGTTGATTGCAGATAAGAAGATGATGAGAAAAGTCACATTCCCACAGATATAAACTGCAAACACCACCTTTTTAAAAGCATGACCCTGAAAGAAAAAATTGAGACGTGAAAGAAAGAAACAACTATCATTGAAGTTTGTGTCAGTAAATAAGAAAAGGAGGACTTACTTCTGCTTCAGCTACAGTAAATGACTGAAGGATCTGAATTCTGGCATCATCCAATATTTCAACTGTCAAAAACAACAACGTAAGTTTGTAAGGCTTGTGAGTATGCCGGTAAACTAACTTTCAAAAAAAAAAAGTCCTGATGTGTAGCATTTGTTGATTTCTAGGTGTATATTCTCCCATATCAAGCTACCAAATGTTGCAAACTTCCTGAACATGTAAGGCTCTCACAAATTGGGACAAGTGGGCTACAGAACATATTTGTCAAGGGACTTGAAATATGCCTCTTCTCCTGGTCAATAAACACCATATCAAAGTCTTAACAGACCATGTTTTAAGTATGTATGTATTTTAAATAGCAAGCCATAATTCAGTGGTCATCAGAAACCCCATGTATGTGACCCTGTTGAGAACCAAAAATGGCAGGATAGATATTTACTACTCGGCTCCTAAAAGCTGCCCAGGCTCCTAGATTCACAACAAAGAGGTCTTATTTTTAAAAGGCCACCTTAACTTATCATTTAGGGGGGTGGAAACTAAATAAGACACAAAGGACACAGCCCAGAAGCCAAGCTAGTTTAAAATGTCACGTAGTCTCTACTAATGTCTCCATTCCTAATGGCTATAGGTATCTTGACCCTGCCTAAGGCCCATTTCGTACTAAGATCAAAATGGACTGGCCACTAGAAAGTCATGGTAAAAGAATTCTTCCCCTCTAGCTTGCCTAGTTAGCTAGCTATATATGATGTACATGACAACTGAAGTGTTAGTACACAGTAAGTTTATCAAATAGGCAAAACCTGCCTGCAGCTTTGCCCTCTGTTGACTTTAGGCATCTCTTCTTCCTCCATTTCTGAGTTCTCTCAGCTCCATGCATTCAGGATTCTCAGTGTGGACTGGCTCCAAGTCAGACCAGCATTATAAAAAAAGACTTCTTCCCTAAAACCTAAAATCGTTCCCTTTTTTCCCTCATAAATTGTAATACTGGGTGCCTGGGTGGCTCAGTTGGTTAAGCGACTGCCTTCGGCTCAGGTCATGATCCTGGAGTCCCGGGATCGAGTCCCGCATCGGGCTCCCTGCTCAGCAGGGAGTCTGCTTCTCCCTCTGACCCTCCTCCCTCTCATGCTCTCTGTCTCTCATTCTCTCTCTCGCAAATAAATAAAAAATCTTAAAAAAAAATTTTTTTAAAAATTGTAATACTAATGAGTATAAAAAACAAGAGCAGAATATTTCCATGAGTTCTAACACTGACTAATCACCACAGACAGTTTTAGTGAGCTATCCTGTAAGAGCCAACCATCAGTATCTAGAAACTAATCACATTCCTAGAGTTTGTATAAAGGTGATTCTATATAACATGGCTGTTTGAGCAGGTTACCTTTTCGAGAAAGTCGGTAGGCATGTATCTCCAGAACAATCTCCACCCCAACATGCCAGGCTACAAATCCAATCATTGTATAGGTTTTCCATGGGCCAGGAAGATCTAGTCCTGGTAAATCCATTCCCAGGAACATTGCTGCCACTACATTTATAAGAAAAATATATATATTCAAATGTAGTCACCCTCAAGAGAGGTAATTATGTGTGTATTATATCAAGTAAAACACAGTAAAAGAGTTTATGAGCTGAATTAGACTAATATTTAAGACCAAATAATTAACTTAATCTTTTTTTAATTGTAAGACTAGAAACGGTAAGATGGGAAATTAAATTATGATCTATCAATTGTTTAAAAAGAGACACTCAAACTTTCCAAAATGTTTTAAGTCTGTAATGTAGGAAAGGGAGAAAAGTATGGAAATCATTGTTGACTATGATGTTGACTCCTGCTTCCACGAAGAACCCCCAAAGACTATCAAAATGTAAGAATAGGAGGTGTCAGTTTATGTATTTATTATACAAAGCATCAAAATACATTGGATAACCACACCTGACTTTTGAAAATCACCCTTCCCTGGAAGGTACCATCTCCATGGAAAGGACCTGCAGACAGAAGGCTGGGACGCCCACAGCCCACCTCAGCCCAACTCACAAATGGCCCTCAACTTGAGCGTTTGGCCATTAGCACAGCTTATTCTGTGGGCAAAGGCAAATGCTAAAAAAAAAAGAGTCGTAGAAGGAAAGTTTTAAGGCCATTTCAAAAACCTTAAACTTAAAACTGAAAAAATGACTTAAATAGTCACCTCAAGAAATTACTTTCTGGATTTCAATGTTTAAGACTGATCTCTCCTCAACAACCAATTACTCCAATTACTAATACATCTAAAAATCATTTAAGCCAAATTACCATCTGCAATATAAACAACCAGCAATTATATATGAATAAGTGGCATCACAATTACTTACCTGCTATTATTCTAGCAGCTGTGCCCATACTCCAATGAGTCCAGTTAAACATTGGCCTTCTACCAAATAAAGAACCAGTCAGTATTTTCAAAAGTGACAGAACTACAATTAATTCCCAAGAGAATAAAAAGCACAAAATTTCCCTTATTGCCTCGGAATTAGGTATCTGAAATACATTTTAAAACCATTTAAAGTAAATATAATTTATCACTGAATTTTATAACATGCAAAGTGTTTTCACTTAAAAAGGAGTTAGTTTTTAAAAAAAAAAAAAAAAGAAGATAGCAGGAAGGGAAGAATGAAGAGGGGGAAATCGGAGGGGGAGACAAACCATGAGAGACTATGGACTCTGAGAAACAAACTGAGGGTTCTAGAGGGGAGGGGGTGGGGGGATGGGTTAGCCTGGTGATGGGTATTAAAGAGGGCACGTACTGCATGGAGCACTGGGTGTTATACGCAAACAATGAATCATGGAACACTACATCAAAAACTAATGATGTAGGGGCACCTGGGTGGCTCAGTCGTTAAGCGTCTGCCTTCGGCTCAGGTCATGATCCCAGGGTCCTGGGATTGAGCCCTGCATCAGGTTCCTTGCTCGGCAGGGAGCCTGCTTCTCCCTCTCCCATTCCCCCTACTTGTGTTCCCTCTCTAGCTCTCTCTCTCTCTGTGTCAAATAAATAAAATCTTTAAAAAAAAAAAAAAACTAATGATGTAATGTATGGTGATTAACATAACATAATAATTAAAAAAAAAAAAGGAATTAGTTTGCCAAATAATGATATCCACATTAAGACCATTTATATATAAAAGCTCTAAGTACCTTGGGTCATGTAAAGTTGGCCTGAAGGCTGCCAAAAGAGGCTGAAGAACTGCTAAAATCATCACTATACAACCAAGATACGGGTGATAACCTGCATACTGAACAAAGTTACATGATTTTAATGGTCTCGATCTCACCCATCAATGTAAATCCTCAAGTTAAAAATAATACACACAGATGATGTATTCTTAGCGTTTTTCTGTAGCTTAAAACATTTACTAATAAGAACAGGCACCATTCACTGAGCACCTACTGTATACCAGGCATGTACTTTATATACATTATTACTGATGCTCACTACAATGCTTGACAGTTATCAATACCCCACTTTCATGGGGAACTGAGGCTTAGAGATAACAAGCAGTCTGTCCAACGACATAGAGTGTGTAAATTGGTTGTGGTGGAATCCATGTAAGGTGCTGCCTCTCCCCCATCAGGATGTTAGATGATCACCAACTCTAGTACAGCCCACCTAGGACTAGTTAGTATCCCCATGTCAAGGGCAATCACCCCAGTGTACGGTAATTTTGTTTAGAACTCTGTGTTTCCCTGAGCTGAAGGTTCTATATGATTCCCTATAACTCCAATGCTTAACAGAGCTTTAATCACTCAACAAATGTGGATTAAATGAATAACCTGTATAGCCACTGCATTAAAATCTTAGCTCCTCTGTTCAGAATGGAGGGATAACCTGAGAAAAAACATCAACAAAGTATCGCAACACTGTCAGCTCCACTCCTCTCTTAGAAATGCTACATGCCTGCTCAAAACAGCAGACGGTAGATCGCTTGGCACAATTATTCCACTTAAAAACTTAAGAGACTAAGGAGATGTTCTAACCTGTGACATGTTTAGGTGGGGGAATATTACAGTCTGTTGTCACTGACTGCCATGCTTGGGTAGGCTCTAAAATCTGTGATCTAGAACAAGGGTATAATGGTTTCTAAGCCATGATGGGATGCTTTGGTCAAGAAGAACAGTAAGCTGACAAAAGAACATTACAAAAACACGCTCAAGCTATGGACTCGGTTATAGACGGATAAAATTATAACCAGGACCATGGAGAGGGAAAGGGCCTCTGTTTCATAAAACGACAGTAACAGCAGCAATGAAATTCCTACATGTGCTTAGAATGTGCACAAAACTGTCCTAAGTGCTTTCAGCTAATTAACTCTCAATTCTCAAAAAGCCTGTGACATGGCTACTATAGTCTCCCCTTTATATGATCCAATTCATAAATGGCAAAGACTGCAAACTACAAAGCTCACAAAATAAGCATTACCCTTGTCCCAAATACCTGCATAAAATAAGGTTCTGATGTCTAGATTCATATGAAGATTTTCATCATTTCCTTTAAAAAAAATAGGTTGACCAATTTAGAAACTACCTAAAAAGCAGGAGGGAGGTTTCCTAGACCCAAGATTCATCAATCTTGCCCTTATAGCAACAACCGGAATGGAAATATCAAAGTTTGAGATCGAATTCTGACTGGATATGAAATTGGAGAAATGTCATGGGAAGCACAGATCTGACCTTAGGTATATTACTTATTCTTGGTAAGCCTTATTCATTCATTCAATACTTACTGAGGACCTACTACATACCAGAAGCTGCTCTGGGTGCTGAAGAATCACTGGTGCGCATACCAGTAAATATCTTCGCTCTAACATTCGCTTAGTGGTAATCATAGTATTAGTTAGAGAAAACCACTTACAAAGTTCACGTTCCTTAGATAGCACACTGAATTTTCACTGCTCCATAGTGAGAAAACTCACCCAAGCTATGTAGAGTATCCATAACATTTGATGCAGCCTAAAAATATATTTCATTATCAAGTAATCTGCAATGACATCCTCACTCTATTCCCTGACCCCCCAGCCATATGGAAGAGTTGCCAGATGATTAAAAAAAGGAAAGAGAGATGTACGCAGAAATATCTTTTAACCTCTCATTTGAGAATGAAACAGCAACCTCCTCTGACATCAAAATGAATTTATATAAAAACATCCTGTTTGAGAGATACCTACCCAACTCCAGCCTCCTCTGTAAACAAAAGGCAGAACAAAAGCAATGCAGGTAAGGGCGGTGGTCATGAGCATGAGCATCCGATGCACCTGCAAGGGTGAAATATAACCATGAGAATACAATTAACCAGGTAAGAGGAAGGAGTTGGCGTTACTGTGGCAAGAAGACTGAGGGGTGGGATTCACTGAAGGCAGGCATTCGATGGACATCTCATCACCATTTGCTGTGAGTTAAAAAAAAAAAAAAAAAAACTTAGTAAACGACTGAACTTAAAGAAAACTCTAAGCTGCCATCCTCGTCATTCAAAAGCATTTGCCAAGACTTCACCTGCACAGAGCAGCATTAATGGCTATTTCACACACGGAGCATACCTACTTGCCAAAAGTCCTTCCTTTCCTTCCTTTATTAAGTTCCACCACCAAGCACAGTGCTGTACCAGATACCATCAAACAGCAAGGAAACAGAAAATACTGTCTCCCGAGAAGCTTCGCATACAAGTGAGGAGATGAAACATTTATGAAATGTCATTCATTGTCTAAATCATGCAAGTGGAATGACACTGTTAATTGAGTATGTCAGGATAAATGATGCAAACAAAAACTATCTCAGGGAAAGGAGAACACATAATCACTCTATATATCGCACTACATATAGAGACAGCAGAGTTTTAAAGGCAGTAGAGAACCGAATTGGTAAAGTGGAGACAGAAAGAATTTTCCAATTGGGAATATCCATACGAGCAGATGAGAGAGAGAACGAGAGAGTGAAATCAAAGGCAGAGACAGAGGCGAGCAAGGTGCATAGCAGTAGTGAGAACATATAAAACAGACTGACCCTGTCAGCCAATAGTGAGAAACCAGGTTAGATAAGGTAAGTCTTAAAGGCTACAAACTTATATGTACATAAAGTTTCAAGAATACTCCTTATAAAGTTCAAACTGTTCCAATAAACAGTATTTTCTCAAAAGCAGACATGTACACGCTATCTCAACATAGACACATTGATCTTCCACTATACGTGCAACATCTATACTCCGTGACATGTGAAAGAGAAGGTTGTTTTGCTTTGTTTTGAGGCGTGCTTATTGACTCTTGTCTTTCTATGAAGAGTCTGCCTCCTCATCCCATGCAAAGGGGCAGCATGAAAAAAAACACTTCTAGTTCCTCTTCCCACCTACAGAGTAGACAGATGATCTTGAGTAGTGAGTTAGGGACAGTCTAACATTCATTGGCATCAACCAGAGGCCAGACCTCTGTTCGGAAATGCATTAACCCTCGCTACTTCTTTCTTCGGCTCTCCCATCCGCCTTGACCTATCTGTACTCAGTGAGAGCAGTGAATGAATGCTCTTCCAGGCTCTACCCTCGTCCAACAGACATGTAAGTCAGGATCTTTTGGGTCCCAAAGTCTATGTTGCAAAGGGATGCACATGGTCCTGAGACATTCTCCAATCCAGCCTGACCCTCATAAAGCTGTCTCTATTTTGACCACCATCAAGTATCTTATGTCTCTTCTCAACTGGTTAGGAAGCCAAAGAGCAAAATGAAGGAATTATTAGGATTCCACAACTACAACAACTATAACCACAAAAAAAAAAAAAAAAGAAAGAAAGGAAAAGAAACCCACATACTATGTATGTTTTCATGTTGCAGTGTTCAAATAATATGGAAATTGCATTAAACTTTTTCTCCCACCTACCTGAAACCAAGCTGCTTGACCAAAGAAAGCCTTTGACCACACAGATTTGAAGAACCGAGCAATGAGCACACCTATGCCCACGGTAGTCATCCATGCCACAAACATTAAGGCACCTGCAGGTGGGAAAATAAAAGGGTTGAAAACACAAACCACGCTGTTTCTTAAAGGGCCATGCCAAATGCTCAGAACATGGAAAACAACTAAGGAAATACATTCAATGAACGTAAGCATAACCTAAAAACATCCTGCATATCATAGCTTTTACCGCCACCATTACTACTTCTAACAGCTAACACTTCCGTCGCTCCTACCGTGTGCCAGGCACTGTCTCCGAGTGCTTTACATGTATTACTCTAATTGATCTTTATTACAATCCCATTCAGTAGTTACAATTATTATTCGGGTTTTGCTGGATAGGGAAACTAAGGAAGAGAGAAGTTAAGTAACTCGCCTAAGGTTACAAAGTTGGGATCCGAACCCAGCCTGGCTTCAGCAACTGTGCTCTTAACCATGACACTAATACAGCCCTTCTGCAGGTAGGCGAGCATCTTCTCACTTCTCATTCCAAAAACAGTGAAAAACAAATAGGCAGGTTACATGCGAAATCCAATTACTGTCACCCTGGAGCTACCAGTAGAAGCAAATTACCAATAATAAAATTATTTTCAAGCTTAACTATGATGACATTTATTGAAACTCTACTGGAAGGAATAACTCTGGGAATATAAAGGAAATATACCAAATAAGGACAGATTCCCCACCTCATACAAGTATACACTACACTATTCCCCTACTTTTAAATCCCATCTTTTCAACAACAAACCGGGCTACTTTTCAAATGGAATCGACTTTCATCTGTAGAACCGAGCATGTTAGAACCTTATTTTGGGGCTATTGCTCTTCCAACGTGGTTAATTTCATCATTTTAATGATTTAATCATATCATGGTTAAAATCATCATTTGTATAGCACTGAGTAATTTGTACACCCTCAATTACTTATACACTGATCAGTTCTTCAACAAAACTGTATTTCTGAAACCAAACTACTATTAAACAATCAAAATCACAAAGCACTCTTTTATTATAAGCCTTTATTTTAATAAATGGCCTAATTAAGGTCTCACAAAAATTAAATTGATTAACCCAGATACTCAACTCTGGCTACAGTTAGAAATAACTAGGGCACTCTTTAAAAATTATAGATGTCTTAAAAGCTCCATTAGTGACTTTAATGTACAGCCAGGGTTAAAACCAATGACTTATCCCTACTTTCCATTTTTAATAAAAAGGAGAAAACATTAAGATAAACATTGCTACCTGCAAATGTTAATATTTAAATATAGAAGACTGATGAACATTTGGTAAATTATGCCCACCGCCATTCCTAATCCAGCCAGCACTGAGTCATCAGGTAAATTTATTGCACAAAGTAGTAATAATACTACACACATAACTTACCATGAGCCTTCAGAAGGAAAAAAGAACGGGATCCTCCCACATTCCTTGGATAGTCTGTCACATTATATTTTTCATATGTAATCAAAGGTTGCTGAGAATGCTTATAAATTTGACCTGAAATTTCACAAAAAGAAAATGAAGAAGAATTACTTGCTCAGGAGAGAAGGAATGGAAAGACAGTGGCATGGCAAAGAAACAAACTTTCTTACAGTAATAAAAAATAAATAAATATCATCAGAGATGCCACTCATATGCAAAAGCCACATAAATGTATTCACAAGCACACATGATCATCTTGAAAAAAGTTAGAGAAATAATTTAGCCAATCAAGAGATGAATCAAAACGAGGACGAAGAATGGCGAAGTTATGCTGAAAGAGCAGGTGGTATGCAAGAGACCAAACACTGGGAAGTCAAGATGATCACTGGTAATATCAAAAATCACTGAAAATGTCAAATACAATTCTTCAAAGATACTACATACTTTTTAAAAATCTGGACTCCTAGACTAAACTAACAGAACTCAGACCTGGACAAAGTAGGTGGGTAGAAGACAAACAAAAGCATGTTGATGCAATATTATATTATTTGGCATATGGTCAATTCGGACCGGCTTTGACTAACAAATCAAAATCCCAAATAATGGTGATGTAAACAAATTAAGGATGTGTTATTATTTATTATGTATAAGATTAAGTCTGTGAATGTATAGAATCAGTCTGGTATGTGAGTATGTATGTGTGGCTGTTCATTCTGGGAATCTATCCTACAGAAATACTCCCCTTTTACCCAAAGATATATGTGTAAGAATCTCTACGAGAAGTTGTGGGGGTTTTGTGCTGGACCAAAAAAAAAAAAAAAAATTAAGCAAGCTAAATGTCCATCATTAGGAGAATAAATCATGGAACATACATTATTTTAAGAATACAAGTGTCAAAAAGAATAAAAAGAATTAAGAAATTTGATATAACAGATATATAGGAATCTTTACCCCAATAATAATAAGTACTAGACTATAGACTACATCTCAATAATTTCCAAAAAGAAATAATTATATAAGATACAGGTTATATTATTTATCCAAAACACAACAAAACTAAAAATAAACAACAAAAAGCTAGGAAAAAATGATCCACCTAGATATTTATAAAACTACTCTTCTAAATAACCCTGGGGCTAAACAGGAAATCAAAATTTAAATTTAAATTTAAATTTAAATTGCAATTAAAATGACATTTCATATCAAATGATATGACATTTCATATCAAAACACATGTGATGCAATCAAGGTACTATTCAAAAGAAGCTTTTATCATTTAAAAAGAATTTCCTTTAAAAAAAAAAAAGACTTAGGGGCCCTGGGTGGCTCAGTCGGTCAAGCGTCTGCCTTCGGCTCAGGTCATGATCACAGGGCACTGGGATGGAGCCCTGCATTGGGCTCCTTGCTCAGCAGGGAGTCTGCTTCTCCCTCTCCTCCCCACCTGTGCTCTTTCTCCCTATCTTTGTCACTGTCTCTGTCTCTCTCTCTCACATAAATAAATAAAATCTTTAAAAAAAAAAAAAAGACTTAAAGTATTGAAGTCATCATTTAATTCAAGAGGTGTTTACACCAACAAAATATAACCAGGAAAACAGAAAGGAAGATTGGTTAAAAATAAAGGTAGAAATTAACAAACTAGTAAGTCAAAAATGAAGTCTATAAAAGGCCAATGAAATCGACTGTTTGGCAAGTCCAACCACAAGATAAAAAGAAAGAACACAAACAGTATTAGAAATAAAAAGGGTGACACAGCAGCTGATAATAGAAGATACTCTTCAAAATTATATGAAAATGCTACATACAACTTTAAGTAAGCCAAAAATATTTTAAAATCTAAATGAAATGGATGAATTTATGGAAAAATCTAGAATTAAAAACTTCACCAAAGAAGTAGTAGTAATTCTAGAGAGTAATAATGGTAGAAGAATTTTTTTAATTAGTCAAATATTTCTATCCCTAAAGGTTCAGACAGTTATTATGTGGATGAGTTCTATTATACAATTAAAAAAATTTTTTTAACTTTAAAATTTCTTTTTTTTTTAATGTTTTATTTATTTATTCATGAGAGTCAGAGAGAGAGAGAGAAAGAGAGGCAGAGGCAGAGGGAGAAGCAGGCTCCCCGCCTAGCAGGGAGCCCGATGCGGGACTCGATCCCAGAAACCTGGGATCATGACCTGAGCCGAAGGCAGATGCCCAACCATCTGAGCCACCCAGGCGCCCCTTAATTTTAAAAATTTTTTTTTAATGTTTTATTTATTTATTCATGAGAGTCAGAGAGAGACAGAGAGAGAGAGGCAGAGGCAGAGGGAGAAGCAGGCTCCCCGCCTAGCAGGGAGCCCGATGCGGGACTCGATCCCAGAAACCTGGGATCATGACCTGAGCCGAAGGCAGATGCCCAACCATCTGAGCCACCCAGGCACCCCTTAACTTTAAAAATTCTTATTTATTTAAGCTCTTCTAGAGTTCATTCTATGAGATTAGAATAACACTGAAACCAAAACTAGGCATGCATGCGCACACACACGCACACAATCCCACAACCATAGACCAAAATCAATTACAAATATAGATACAAAAAGTTTAAATAATAAAATATTAGTGAGTCAAATCAACTGCCCATTAAGAGAACTATGAAACATAGCCAAGCAAGGTTTATCCCAATAAAGTTGAGGATTGTTTGCCATTTTGAAGTCTACAAAAGTAATGGTAAAATATTATCTCAATTGCTGCCTAAAAGACCTCAGATGAAATTCAGCACATGTTCATGTCATGAACTCTGTCAAGTTAAGAAAAGATCATTTCCTAAACACCGTAAGAGATACCTACCAAAAAAATACAACAAACATGACACAACAATGAATATCAGAAGCATTCCCATCAAATTTAGGAACAAGACAAGAAGGCTTGCCACAGCACCACTACCAGTCCACTTTTTCTGGGAGAAGTAATCAATGCAATGAAACAAGAAAAAAATGAGGGCTTTGAACCTTGTCGTTATTTGCATAAAATATGGCGTTTATCTAGAAAATCCAAATAATCAACTGGCAAACTAGATGGCTAAATTCGAGATAAACATTCAAATATCAATAACTTTCCTACACACCAACAAATTTAGAAAATGTAAGAAAAATAATCCCATTCACAATAGTTTGTATTAGAAATCTATAAAATACATAGAAACAAAGTAACAAAAAAATATATAAACCTATATGAAGACATGAAGAAAACCACCAGATTTTAATCAATGGAATATCCAATATATTCCTGGATAGAAAGATTCACTATTGCAAAGATGTTGATTATTTCCAAAATTAATCTAAAATTTCATTGCAATTCCAATCACAACCCCAATAGGATTTTCAATGGAATCTGACAGTCATTTCTAAAGTTTATCTAGAAGAAAAGATATACAACAAAGAGGCAAGAATTCCTAGAAAAGGAGGCCAGGAGGGGAATCATGCTCTATCAAAATTCATAACCTGTTATAAAGCTACAGTAGTTTCAACTGACACAGTAATTGAGTAATGGAAGAATAAACTAGAAATAGTTTGATTTATTGATAGATGTTTGGCATACAATAAAGAGGCTTCTGAAGCAGCAGAGATAAAATAAACTATTCAAAAAATGGCATTAGGACAACTGGTTATTCGTTTCACAAATACTACTATATCATGGCTTGTTTATAACAGAGAGGATCGGAGAGAAAGCAGAAAACAAGAAAAGTTTTACGTAACGAATACCTAGAGAAGAGAGTCAAGAAGAAAGAGACAATAACTATCAGGAATTATACTGAATTAGCAGAGTTGTGGTGATGAAAACCAGACCACATTCCCCAATAGCCTGAGAGACAAGTTGGAAGAAAGTGTTTTTAAACTGATTCACTGCAGACCCATAGGCTAACCAAGAACTGAACCTTCATAAAAGCAGAAGTCCATTATAATTTTGGGATTCCTTTGTATGGCTCCATTATAATCTTGGATTTCTGCTCTAAGGCAGATTGACTTCATGTTTAGTACAAGGCTCTACAGTATTACGTGACGTGTGGTATTCCTAAATTGTTAAAATAACCGGTCATGTGATAACGGGGTCTCCAATTCATTAATTATTTAAATTGGTAGATTTCCTAATTGTGAATTACTTATTCACCCAAGTAAGTTCTATCATTTCCCATGACTGCTTATCTCATGATAGAGCAATGTTAGCATTCTGGGGGGGAAAACAGCATTAGAAAAAGGTTTTAAATGGATTTTACTGCAATTGGGTACATTTTACATTTATATGGGTCACAGAGATTTTATGATTGCTTTGAAAAATGGTTTCAACCTCACAAAGTCTCACTGCTTTTAAGCAGAGTGCAATTTATAAATGGTTCACATACATATAACTAGATAACAGAAGAGAAAATGATTTATGTGGCAATTTTATTTTGTTCCCCAATACAAGGGTAATGGAAAGTTTATTCCCTGAAGCATTAATGCCTAGGTTTGGGTTTTGGGGTTTTTTTTTAAGGTTTTGTTTTGCATTTTTGCTTTGCACTCCACCAGTTTAAAAAAAAAAATGAGTCCGGGGCACCCAGGTGGCTCAGTTGCTTGAGCAGCTGCCTTCAGCTCAGGTCATGATCCTGGGGTCCTGGGATAGAGCCCCATGTGGGGCTCCCTGCTCAGCAGGGGGTCTGCCTCTCCCTCTCCTTCTGCCCCACCCCTCTGCTCCTGCTCTCTCTCAAATAAAATCTTTAAAGAAATAAAAAAAATTTTAAAAATGAGTCTGTGCTCCCAATATATGTATACTTTAGAACATATTCATGTACTATTGTCTTAATGCATTATGAACACTGTAAAATATATTAAAATAGAAATTTTTGAGATGAGAGGAGATAAAATAAATCTAAATATAAGATTCTAGTGTTGCTCATTGTATCCCCTAAACTGCCTTACAATGTATATACCTTATTTGGGAGAAACTTGTCCTAGAGTAGTAAGTTATCAAATCACAGTATACAAAACAATCACCTGCAGATTCCAAGCATCAACGACAGAGATTCAGTGAGTCTAAGCTGGAGTTCGGGAATCTACATTTTCAGCAGTCACTCCAAATGGTTCTGAAGCAGGTTGTTTGGGGCCACACTTTGAGAAACACCACAAAAGATAGAGATTCTCCCCACCATACCATCCGCATAGCAACACCAGCAGGAGAGGGAGATACAGAAATGCTCCATTCTGCACCTATATTATCCATGAACTAGATTTTTCTGGGGGAATATTGGAACTATCACTTAAAATATTGTTTCTATCAGAAAATGCATTTCAATTTCTACAGTGCTGACCTAAGAAGAAAGTTTTGGCATCACCACACACACCCCCACACACAATTTATTATATAATAGAATTCATCTACTTAAATGAAACTGCTTTTCTTTTAAAGTGTAAATTTTTTAAGTATCAAGTTTTTTTTGAAGATTTTATTTATTTAACTGAGAGAGGGAGCATGAGCAGGGAGTCTGACATGGGGCTCAATCCCAGGACCCCAAGATCATGACCTGAGCCGAAGGCAGACGCTTAACCATCTGAGCCACCCAGGTGCCCCTAAGTATCAAGTTTTTTAAAGTATAAATGCAAACCGTTAAATGCCCTAGCAGCTGAAGACATCCATTTGCTTCAGTAGTCACTCATGGAGCACCTGCACCACACCAGGCACCAAAGGAAGCAGGCTGGTATGATGGAAAGGGCACGGCTTCTGTAAGCAGAACAGCCTGGGATGAAATTTCTGACTCCGCTACTTGTTTGATTTGGAACGAGTTACTTAGCCTTTCTAGGTTCCAGTTTCCTCCTCTTAAATGGGCAATATAATGTCTATTGACAAAGCCTCTGTGAGACATGGGATATATGTAATGCACAATAAGTGACAGCTAGAGTAACAACAAACACAATTACCTCTACTTGAGTGGCATCCGTTTCAAAACACAAATATTTGACCCTTTTCCTCATTAAAAATTCAATTCCTACATTTTCCATGTTCAAAAGTGTTGACGACTTAGGCTCTGAGGTCAACGAGTTTGGGTTCAAATTCCAGCTCTACCATGGACTCATCTGGGCAAATTACTTAACCGCTCCTAAGCCTCTGTTTCCTCCTGGATGAAACAGGGATAGTAAAAGAGTACATATCTAATATAATTTTTATGAAGATAAAAATGAAGGATCTAACTACAGTGCTTAGCCAGTGACTGGCAGTCATTAGCACGGAGTAGTTTTTCTTCATTATCATCACTTAGCCAAGAAATGATTTTCAAGCTCTTTTTGCTGTTACTGGCGCAAACGAGACTACACGATTTAACTAAAATAACTACATATATCACCTACAACTAAATCTACGAATATTCCTAAATTTTCTCATAACACTGAGGAGATACTTTATCCTGCTTCAAAACTATTGTGTCCCCTTTACCCATAGTATAAAATCAAAACCACATGATAGAATATGCAAAGGCTTTTCACCATTTTACCTACACCACATTTCTGCTCTTTCTCTTCCTTTACCTCACCCCCTATCCTTCCATTCCATCCACCCAGCTTCTCACCATTTTCAAAGGAAGCTATATTCTCAAAGTTTGGGGGTGGTATTATCTCTCAAGAGATGAGTCACTACATACTACCTTGGCATTTCCTGTAGTTCTTCAAAACATCATCAGCCAAGACCTTAAACAAAATCTAATAATCCTTATTACTATGTGTTGCAATACCCACCAGGGCAGTCTTCTTAAGGACAAAGGAAATATTCTTTTAAAAAAAGAGGATAAAGTAAATATTCAAACACATAAAACTACCGCGGGCTGCACTTGGCATCAAATTCACTTAGAGAGATGTGGGACAGAGACAAGCACAGCTGCAGGGCATTTAGAGGCGTTTTCCTTTGATGGGAGATCTTGTAGCACCTTATTCAGTTGGCCAGGGGCTATTCTCTCTACCCCTCTTCCACCTCCCTGGAGAAAGCTCAGGTTCAAGGAGATGAGATTCACATTAGACAGGTTATCCTACAAAAGCCAGCATCTCTTGCAACAATCCCACAGTCACTGCTTACAGGATCCCTGCCAGGAATCTGCCAACGTCACAACACTTAGGGAAGCCCAAAGATATGGCTTCTTACTAGGTATTTATAGTTCTTCCTGGTCCAAATGCAGTTTGCCAGCCAGAAGTCACTTTTGTCATAAGCATGTCACCTTATAACATAGTTGACACTACTTTTATCTAGTTTCCCAGGATACAAAACGAGAAGGTCATCCACAGTCGAACTGTCAGGCAAAAATGGAAAAGGGTTTTGATAACTCTTTACCCACAAGTGTGTATCTTAAAAAATGAGCAATTATAGTAGTCTCTTCAGGAAAGGTGGAAAAGGGAAGAAGAGAGAGAAAAAAACTTGAAAAGATAGGTTTCATCAATATACGTACCACCGTCAGCTGCACCATCTGCTAGAAATATGTAGTAGCTTGTGTTTAGATCAAATCTATTCTTAACCCCAGGAAGGGTAATGTTTCTTCTGAAAGAACACTGCATAACACCATCCGCCAGCCTCCAAGCCAGATCCTCAAGAGCACCCTACAAACGTACACAATGGGTCTTCTCAGCACTTTCCACAGATTTGTTAAAAATAAAATATGATCAAAATCCTGACCTGCTGGATTTCCTTTCCAGGAAAACTATATACATAGTGAAATGATTACTACAGTTGTGTCCTTACATACTTACCTTTTTTTTTGTGGTGAGAGCACCTGAAATTTACTCGCTTAGCAAATTTCCAGTATACAATACAGTTTTATTAAATACAGTCATCATGCTGTACATTAGATCTCTAGACTTACTCATCCTACATAACTGCAACTTTGTACCCTTTGACCACCGTCTCCCCTTTTCTACACTTTGCAAAAGCACAAGTTTCTCTTGTAGGAAAAGATGAATTCTTGCCTGTGTCACCTAAATCCTTTTTTTTTCACATGTTAGAAAAGAATATTTTATGATGAAGATGGTCAGAGCATCAGCTCCTTTTCAAAACCTTACAGACCGATTTTTAAGAAGAGGCTTGGGTTAATGACACAGAGTTTCTCGTCCAGTGAGAAGGAGGAGTGTATAGGGCGGAGACTGGTTCAGTGCCTTGGACAGTTGTCTTCTGTGCCTCTTCTTGGCATCTGTGCCAGAGATGGCCTATTTCTGGTAGAGAAGTGTCTCTCATCACATGGCATCGGCAAGCAGATGAGCGTTGACGGAGCGGTAGCTGTTGCCTAGGACTTCACACACTCTGTGGAGCTTTCCCCTGGGCTTGGGACTTCTCCCTTGTTACATGTTACATTGTGGCCACGGGCGTATTACTTCCTAATTGTTTCTTCAGTGTTTTTGATTTTGTGTCAGTGGCCAGATGGGGTTACTACATCTGCCAAAGTTTCTTACCTGGGTAGAGGACTTATGGGGTTCTGACTCCAAGTAAAAACAGTATTTTGCCACGTGGGATAAAGACAAATAAACTAGGAGAAAATGTTTCTTGTACTCCTCAGAGAGGAAGTGGGAAAACAATGTATATCAAACCATCATGTTGTATACCTTAAATACACATAATTTTATTAAATTATATAATAATAAAATATACTTTAATATATATTAAAATATAAATATATAATGATATTAATAATAAATTAAACATATAAATATAATACTATATAATTTATTTTTATATTTTATTTTAAAATAAAATAAAGCACAGAAAAGTTTCTCCCAGATTATTATAAGAAAGGAAGCCTGTTGCCAGACTCCTGCTCTGGGTCTGCTAACTGAGGATGGGGAGCTATCTTGCAGCAAAGTTACTCCACTGTTGGCCACACAGCCAAAAGACGGACAAGCCAGGTGGAGGTTCCCAGAATTTTCACACCTACCCCGGAGTCCATCACAGGGTGACTTCGCCCTGTCAAATGGGAAGGTTGTATGTGCACAGTCTGATCTTCACGAATACACAAATAAGCATCATCATCACCCTAAAAACATTTGCAAATGAGAAAAATTCAAAGGAATATCAACATTTTGTTTTTAAAAGCATCCCTAATGAAATCAAATAGTATTTGATGCTGTTAAAACATAATTTTCTGATTCAATCCTAATGATGCTATGAACTCAAGAGAATTGGCTGCCCAATTTATTAATTTAAAACAATTTTGCTATAATGAAGAAAGAAACAAAGATCAGAAACAGACCCATAAATACAGGGAACAAACCTGGTGGTTGCCAGAGGGGAGGGGGTGGGGGGATGGGCAAAATGGGTGAGAGGCAGTGGGAAACAGAGGCTTCCAGCTGTGGAATGAATAAGTCATGGGAATAAAAGGTAGAACACGGGGAATATAGTCAATGGTATAACAGTGTTGTATGGTAACAGATAGCAGCTACACTTGTGATGAGCATAGCATGATATTTAAAACTGTCCAATCATTATGTTGTACTGAAACTAATGTAACATTGTGTGTCAACTATACTTCATTCAATATAAATAAATAATAACTTTGTTATAATACAAAAGCAACACAATTTCAATGTAAAAATAGATTAAAATAACATGTTTATATGCCCATAAACTCAAACACCACTGTTAATGCTTTCATGTATATTCATCCAAACCTATTTGTATTTATACCTACTTTTTCACCCCAAATAGGAAAATACACAGTTCTGTTACTTTTTCACTGAACTTATTATGAACATTGTTTGTAAATAAATATCTGTGTCTTACAAATTTTCATAACTATAAATGCACTGCACTATATTGGGTTTGGGGGTGGTAACTTTTAAGATGAGGACACTGTAATCAAATACTGCTAATATTGTACACACTCAATAGATCACATATTAAGACCAACTTGTCTGAACTCAAGGAGGCATTTTCTGTCAGTCTAATTCCTATCTACTCTTTAGTCTCCAATATTCCTTAGCTCTAAAAGTTAGAGCTTAAAGTGACTATCAGAGGACACACAGAATCTTCAAATTACATTTAAATGATGGTACAAAGAAATAATCTGCATTTTAAATTACTGTGTATAGTTTTGGTTCTTTCACTTATTCTAAACCATTCTCCATAAACTATCTAACAAGATGTTTTTATATGTTGTAGTCACTAAACTCCTTAAACAAAGCCAAGACTGACAATTTATAATAAATTTTGCTATTAATCCCAATGATATTCTAACATATTTTAAATTTATTTTTTAAAGTTCCACCTTTGAGAACTCCCAAGTACATAACCTTAGCAACCAATTATTCACTGTTACACATCTTCTATTCAAATCAGAATTAGCCCAACTCAAGAAATTTGGAGTCATGGTGATTTAAACCAGGAATCAACCAACTATAGCACACACACCAAATTCAGCCTGATGCCTGTTTTTGTACAGCCCACAGGCTAACAAGGATGTTTACATATCTAAACCATTTATTAAAAAGAAGAATATGTCATGGGCGCCTGGGTGGCTCAGTCGTTAAGCGTCTGCCTTCAGCTCAGGTCATGATCCCAGGGTCCTGGGATCGAGCCCCGCATCGGGCTCCCTGCTCCGCGGGAAGCCTGTTTCTCCCTCTCCCACTCCCCCCTGCTTGTGTTCCCTCCCTCGCTGTTGTCTCTCTCTGTCAAATAAATAAAATCTTTAAAAAAAAAAAGAAGAATATGTCATGATGAGTAAAAATACATGAAATCCAAATTTCAGTATCCACAAAGAAAGCCTTACTGGAATACAGCCACACCTATTAATTTATGGATTGTCTATTGCTGTTTCAGTGCTACCACACAGAGATGAGTATTAAGAACACAGACCATATGCCCACAAATTCTAAAGTTGCTACTATCTGAATCTTTACAGAAAAAGTTCACTGATCTCTAATTTAAACAATGTGTTTTCTCTACACTTTCATCTATGAGGTATACAAACTCTTTTTTTATTTAATAAAACAAATTTTAATATAACAAAACGGTTGATTTTGAGGCAAAATGATGATAAGCCAACTGCCATACTAACTCACTGCAGACAGACCTCTCAAATATTGGAGAGAATGATGGGGATGGAGAAGAAGTAACTTTCAGTCCTCACTACTCTACAGTGAAGAGTATGAGAAGGTTGCTATTACAACCTTAGGCTCCAGGCAATTCTAGAAACCCCAAGTATGGAGCATAGAAGCACACATATAAGAAGTTCCACCAAGTTTCTGAATTGGACAGATCCTCTTTCTCCCATTTGTTTCTCTTGAATCAAGCATTTAGAATGCACTCTGTTCAGAAAACATTGTGTGGGTTACTGTGGGAAAAATAAAGATGACTAGATTGTTCTTACAACCAAAGACTACTTTTTAATGGAAGAGACAGTTATAATAGTATGTGAATTATGATAAAACAGGTTTAGACAAAGTACCACGGAAGGACAAATTACGTAGAGCCAAAGGTTTGAAAAAACTTATCAGAAAAGATAGTAAGTAGGCCTTAGAGAATGAAAAATATTTATATGTTGATAAGGTAGAGTTGAGATTAAAGGAAAAGTTTCCCAAAAGGAGGAACTTCCAGGACCAAAGACATAGAAATAAAAAAATATATGAAACTTTTAGGGAACAGGTGATTATGTTAGCTAATACATATACATGGTAAGGCTGGAAATTCCAACAAGGACTTTGAAGAGTTTTGAAAGCCATGCTAATGAAAAAAGAACATTTTTCCTATAACTACTAAAGGTTTCTGGAGATAGGATTGAGATGATCTCCGTGGTAGCCCAGGAAGAAAACAACAGTGACTATTGAAAGATGAAATGGAATAAAATTGCTAAAAATTTTAAAGGAGAAATCATGGAGCCAGCAGGACCAGTGAGGGGTCACTGCGGCGATCTTGAAATGACAATAAAGGTGTAAGCCAAGTCAGAGATAGTGACGATACAATAAAAAGAATGAAGAAGTATGTCAAAGACAGAATCAAAAATCTGGAAGATTGGTAGCAATGAACATATTGGCACCCAAATCTTGACTTATTTTAAACACTATTCCTATTAAAAGGAAACAGACCTCCTTGGAGAAATAAAAATGCAAAACAGTGTAAGATGAGTGGACATCTTGTTTCACCAGAAAACAAAGACACACCAAAAAATTAACACAGACACATCGAAAGGTCACAAAAAAAAACAGCTTGAAAGAGCCGTATTTGGGTTAATATGAGCATCTAAAACAAGAATGATGATGATAAACTATAACACAATAGACCAAAGGAATTCATTAGTCCATAGTGTGTCACCAAAAGGGAAGGGCAGATGCAGAGAAAAGAAAGTTCTTCTTTTTAGAAGAACACCAGTTAATAAATAATTTAGAAAATCACCATTTTGTAACCACAAATGTAATAACTGTTTCAGGAAAGGAACAGCAATAGATGCTAAAATCATTTAGTAAAATGTTATTGAGGAACAGAATATTCACCCTCAAAGTATCACCCCACAGATTACTTATTAATTAAAAAGAGAAAATTCGGGGCACCTGGGTGGCTCAGTTGGTTAAGCATCTGCCTTTGGCTCAGGTCATGATACCAGGGCCCTGGGATCGAGCCCCACATTAGACCCCCTGCTCAGTGCAGAGTCTGCTTCTCCCTCTCCCTCTGCCTGCCACTCCCCCTCCCTCTGCCTGCCACTCCCCCTGCTTGTGCTCTGTCTCTCTCTCCCTCACTGTCTCTGTCAAATGAATAAATAAAATCTTTCTTTTAAAAAAAAAGAGAGAAAATATGCCTTCACAATGGAAAAATCTGACAGATACCAGTGATCAAACATAGAATCATCAATAATGGACTAACTTGACATTACACACCTCTTGATATGATCACTGAGATAGAAACAAACCCTTTTGGCAGTCTTTGTGCCAAAAATCTTAACCTGAATCTACTGTACAAACTGTGGAACATTCTACAGAATTGGACTAAAAAGAAATCTAGAAAATAGGTAGGGTAGGGTGCCTGGGTGGCTCAGTTGGTTAAGCGACTGCCTTCGACTCAGGTCATGATCCTGGAGTCCCGGGATCGAGTCCCGCATCGGGCTCCCTGCTCGGCAGGGAGTCTGCTTCTCCCTCTGACCCTCCTCCCTCTCATGCTCTGTCTCTCATTCTCTCTCTCTCAAATAAATAAATAAAATCTTTAAAAAAGATTTTTTAGGTAGGGAAACTGATCAAAGAGATACGATAATTAAATGTATTGGGTGATAAATGATTGGATCTTGGGTCAGAAATTTTTTTAAAAAACAGGTATAAAGGACTTTATGGGGACAACTGAGGTATTTGGAATATAGACTATATTGCATAAAATTATTATATCATTGTTAAGTTTTCTCAATGTGATCAAGATATTATGGTAATTATAGGAGCATATCCTTGTTCTTAGGAGATACTTGCTAAAAATTGTAAAGATAAAATGTCATGAGATATCTATAACTTTCAAATAGTATGGGGAAAAATGTGTGTTTTATATACACTTCATAAGTCAATCTACACACAAACATACAAACACACACACACACACCTGGTGGGGGAAGGAAAGGGAGAGAACATGGCAAGTGTAGATGAAGAACTTATTGGTGTTTGTTGTACTATTCTTTCAACTTTCATGTAGGTTTAAAACTTCTCAAAACAAAAAGTTGGGGGTGTGCAGGAGGAAGAAGGACCTGAGGTGAATAAAAGGGAAGAACCTAAGTCACAACCAAATTCCCTGAACACCAAAGAAGATGGTGGCAGCAATGAATGAGAGTCTATAAACTGCCCAGGACAGTTTCTGAAAAGAAGCAAGAGATCAGTAATGGTAACTGCTTTTTTATTACTGTTTTTGATCACCAAGAATGGGGAACACAGGAAACATGAGGAGGGAAGATACTAAATTCAGTTTTATAAATGATGGTTAGTGCTGTCCAGGAATACTCATCTGGACAAGATCAGCCAGCCACTGGAAATCCCAATCTGAAGTGCAAGAGAGGCCAGAACTGGGAACATTCTAGAACTCAACATTAAGAAATTTTGTACAGAGCAAGATGACACTGGGCAGGAGAAGGAAGCCAACAGAAGCTAATATATAGTATGCCTTCTTGATACACTTTGTATCATTTAATAAAGTATCTGAGATAGGGAATATGTGTATACTTTGAAATTTAGTTAAAATTCAGACATCAGCAAGTCATTGTTAGCAAAAATATGGAAAATTATACTTTTCATCAATTTTAGTGATGAAGTCTAATACCAAAATAATTGTTATCATTAATTCACAAGTAAAATTGAAAAAGGTATCATTTAGCTAGTATTCATAGCATCAGATACCTTCAGTATTTAAATTTATATTAGGAACTAAAAAGAAACAGCAGGTCATAAAAGTATCCTAAAATTTTCTGAATAACCAAAAATAGAAATAACCACTTTAAAAATATTTTCTGAGGATGATTTATTTCCCCCAATTTAGGCAAACAGGTGTACAGATGATTTTAATCATTAAGTAAGATTGCTCTGTAAATCAACTGCACCTGCATAATTAAGTCTTTTTTATAAACATTTTTTGATGAGTACTATACTAGAAACATAAGATTTCTAAGTAAGATAAATATATCTTGAAGTAAAGACAAATGCTTTTGTGCCATCGATGCCTACAACTTAGAACAGAAACAACGGGTCTACTTATGGGCTCCTCATCACCACGCCCAGGGTAGCAGTACTGTCTTTTCCTCTCGCTGACAGATTTTATGTGACCAGAAAAAGAAAAATGTGAATATACTATTGCATGAAGTTTGACTCTAAAGTGACTGCAATGTTTTCTATTTAAGGGACCAGAGCACATATCTCAATGAGCACTGTATGTTACAGATGAAGCTACATGCTTATTCCAACGAGACCACCACTGTTAATCCTTGGAGGGGGGCCATCTTCAGAATTTCCTTCATAACCAGTTCCATCACATTTACACAACAAGCACTACCACCATCTTTCCTTATTGCTGTGTAGTCCCATTTTATTTTTAATCCAGTCTCATCATCCCCCTTAGGCGCCAAACCTGGTTCATTTTGGCCAGAACTGCAAATACCCAAAAGAATATGCTATAGGTTTGATGACAATTACAAAGGGAAATGGGGAAAACATTTTGAACTACTGTAACATCATTCAATCAAGTATAAAATTTCCCAAGAAACAACTTTAAAAAAGAAAGAGTCATAATTCCTTATATGTTATTTTTAAAAGCACATGACATATCTGGGGAGCTTACGTGGCTCAGAAGGTTAAGTGTCTGACTCTTGATTTCAGCTCAGGTCATGATCTCAGGGTCATAAGATCGAGCCCCACATCGGGCTCTGCACTGGGCATGGAGCCTGCTTAAGATTCTCTTTCCCTCTCCCGTTGCCCCTCCCCCTCTAAAAAAATAATAAAAAATAAAAGCATATGACAGATCTTATCTCTCATAAGTTTAAGATATACACTTTGCTTAATGAAAGAGAATAATGGGTGCATTCAAGGACTATATAGTAAAATATCTAGGTCATATGCATACACATATAGTAAAATATCTAGGTGTAACTTTTTACCCCTGGCTTCCTGCAAAACTTGCAAGCAACATACAAGGACCAATGCAATCAGAGCGCACTTTTGGGGAAAATATTAGTTCTAGTACAGAATCTCAGCGTTCCTTTCCTTTTTTTGAAATAGGATTCCCTAAAGAAGTGATGTTAAGTTTAAAACCTGACAGGAAGAAATCTCTCTAGAAAAGACCTGTTGCCTTTGCTAACGTGGAAGTAAGAGGCTTTCTCCATTTGTAGTCATCCCCAACCTCCCCGCCAACTCTGCTCTGAACAGGACTCACACATGTCCTGGCCCATACTCTCCTGCCTTCCTTCAGGGAGACCAGGATGCCTCTGCAGCACTTGGCTCTTCCACACCACAGCACAAGGCTGCCATCTATAGAACCATTTAATCCATTCAGCACTACCCAGGGAGAGTGAGAATCAGCTTAAAACAAATGCTGCCTTCCCTAGATCTGACAAAGGAGCCTACCGGTGAAGAATATATTAAGCCTGGACACACCAGATGTCATTCTGTTTGGGATAGGCACCGATGACTACCAAAATGGGGACACCGAGGCAGCAACCCATGCTGTGGTTGCTGGCCACTCGAGAAAACAACGAGGGTTGGAAAAGCATCACAAATAACATAAGACTTTTATGCAGAGCAACTTTTCTTAACTGTACTTCTTGCTTTTATCACAGACAGACAGAGACAGACAGAAAGATACAGTGGCAAGTCCACTGGATATAGAGTGATTTTCCTAACTCTCCGTAGGATGGCCTGTTCTTAGAGCTATGTAATTGCACAACTGTTAAAAACATGAAATACCCAAAGATGTTTAGGTCAGCATCTGCTCTAAGTTACCATTTCCTGCCCTCCCGTTCCCCTTCCCATTGTTAAAGTGTGATCATTTGACTCTAGAACCAACAAGTACACCGCCACTGATTACAGTCCCTCTAGTAATTTTCTTTCATTACCACTTACGTAAGTGAGGGATACAAACCATCCATCTGTCATGAGAAAACGCAAAGGATAAATAGCCTTTACTGGGACCACTCATTTCAACCACCACTGACTGGTCATCTCGTGTGAAGGACAAGAAGAAACAGGCCGGCTCCTTCTCTGGGTCACAGTTCACAGGACTCCTAATACAGAACTTCTTGTTCCCACAATCTGAAGCACTGAACTAGAAAAATGACAGGGAGAAAAAGTCTTAATTACCAACCAAGCAGTTCATTTCACCATGATAAAAGAGCCACTACCTGGAAGCACAAATTTTAACAAGAATATCTTCTCATAATATTTCAAAGAAGGAAACAAAAGACACATCCCAAATTAGAAATGATCAAAGTAGTAGTTAGGTTGTGAACTTTTAAACTTAATTAATTTTAATTAAAATCTGGAAGACAACATTAGTTGGACTATAATGTGCATGAGTATTAAAAGGATTTTAATACATAAAATTAAAAGGACTTTAATACCCGAAATATTTCACATTAATTATGTTCTGGAGCAAAGTTTCTAGCAAATTTTGAAAAACATCTTAGAGAATATTTAAGTCCACATTGACATTCTTACCTAAAGGATACCCTTGAGTTTTTAGAATGGACTTTTAAAAAGCAAATGGACAAACTCTTAGCAAGTTTTTATATTTAGATCCTGAACTCTGCTTCTAGAATTCAGGTTCAAATTGGATATTAAAACTGTAAGAAAAAATGGTTATCCCTATGTATACCACCACTCCAAATAATAACAATTTAGTGGAGGAAAAACAGGAACAATCTACAATGACTTGATTCAGAGCTTCTTATGGCAAAAAAGAGGAAGCATATCAAAAAATGTCAGCTCTACAATTTGACAGAGCAAATGTGCAGTCATCTTGTTAGAAGGCACTGTGAGGGTGTATTTCAGAAAAGAGTTAAATACTACGTAACTAAATCTAATGGGAAATGAATAAAAAAAAAACTTCTCATTTCTTCTACTCTACCAATATTTCCGGCCACCAAATGTGTGGCGGGTTTTCCCACATTAACCAATTCTGCAATTCTCTGGGGACCCCAACTGCGTATCCCACATCGCAATTCCATTCTGACACAATCTACCTGAAGTTAGTGTTCCATCCTACAAGTTAGGGGCTCAGTCCCATAAGACTGCTCCTTTCAGGGCCAATCGCAAGTTCCAGGTTCCCACTGGACGGGATTGGGGTTCCCATGACCCTCTCCTCAAGTTTGATAATATACTAGGATGGTTTGCAGAACTCAGGAAAACAGCTTTCTTACTAGATTACCAGTGTGCTATTTATTTATTTATTTAGGAAGAGAGTGAAAGAGAGAGAGCACACATAAGCGGAGAGGGAGGGAGAGAAAGAGAATCTCAAGCAGACTCCTTGCTGAGTATGGAGCCCACGTGGGGCTCGATCTCACAACCCTGAGATCATGACCTGTGCCAAAATCAAGAGTCCAACACTTAACGAACTGAGCCACCCAGGTGCGCCAAGTGTATTATTACAGGATACAACCCAGGAATAGTCAGATGGAAGAGGCACACAGGGCAAGGTATGTGGCAAGAGGTATGGAGCTTCCACACCCTAAGGCACCATCCTCCCAGGACCTCCATGTGTTCAGCAATCTGGGAGCTCTCTGAACCCCATACTTTTGGGATTTTTATAGAGGCTTCATCGTGGAGGCATGCTGGATTATTGACTCTATTTTCAGCCCCTCTTTCATCTCTGGAAAATAGAGAGTGAGGTAGAAAGTTCCCAGCATGGGTTGGTCTTTCTGCCCTCACCCAGGAGCCCACCCAGAGTTACCTCATTAGAACAAAAGGTATTCCTACCACTCAGGAAATTACAAGAGATTTAGGAGCTCTGTATCAGGAACTGGGGTCAATGGCCAAATATTAGCAGGAACCACGGCAGAGACCAATATATATATATATATTTCTTATTATTTCACAGGAACTTAAAAGTCACAGTAGAGTGGAAAAAACAAGCCACTACAAAACTTGGATTTTTGGTCTCTGCTCTCCCCTTTACTCCAGCATGTTTGCTAAAGAACTTACTGTCTCTCTTGTATACCTTCAACTACACAACAGGGACTGAACCCTGAGGTCTCTTCTAGCTCTACAAATGCTGTAATCTCATGACTCTTTTAAACTTTTCTATAATCAGAGGTTACAAACCTGGTGCAGAGATACCATAAAAGCTCTGAAAACAAATGCCTTTTATGTGAATATATGGAAAGATAATTTTGTCAGTAGATTCCTACCAGGAAGCTCAGGTCCAAAATGACTATTTACTCCCCTAAAGCAGCTTTGAAATTAAATATTAAGACTAAGTAAACTGAGGGGTGCCTGGATGGCTCAGTCGGCGGAACATGTGGTGCAACTCTTGGTCTTGGGGTTGTAAGTTCAATATCCATGTTGGGTGTAGAGGTTACTTAAAAATAAAATCTTTAAAAAAAAAAGACTAAATAGACAAGTGCAAATAAAAGATCTAATTATATGGTCAAAAGTGTAACATTCATAATAATGTAGTCAAATAAAATCATCACACATTGCAAAATGTAAAAGGAAAACAAAATGAGACATTACATAGGAGCACAAGTGCTTTACTTAGTCTTCCCTACAAGAACAAAGAGCTATAAAAAGACAAAAAAGAGAAGGAAAAGAAAAAAGGAACTAATATTTACAGAATTTCTATTAAGTGCAAAGTAGTTAGAAACCTTATATTCATTACATTGTTTTAATTCTCATAATGATACTAAGAGCTAGATATTAAGATTTCTCATTTTATAGGTGAAGAAACTGAGCCCTTGAGAATTAAGTAGCTTGTCCAAAGCCACACAGAAAGTAAACAAGTTGGGAATCAAACCCAAGTTTGTTCTTTCAACTGTAATAACTTGCTGTAAGACATTTTTCATTATATGCACTTCTGAATTAATAAGTCTAACATCAGAACTTCTTTCAGTGAAAACTTCCTAATGTTTCCAGTATGCATTACCCTTTACAAGATATGTTTTTTCAGTCATCATTCTTCTGAACCAGAGGGCCTGAATGAATTCTCGCTGATGAGTCTGCACAAGTTTCTGTAGTTCAGCACAAAGAATCCCCCAGTACTCACTGGCTTTCATGAAATCAGATCTAAGAGTTACATCATCATTTCAAGATTCTCCTCCAAATCCTGTCTAAATTTAGCCCAAGCTTTAATCTTCCTCTTCCACGTTTGATATTTAGCTGTACAGACTCTGAATGAATGTCAGATCCACAACTCGAACATGCAGGATCTTGCACTGCCTTTATTCTGACCTGTAAGTCATAATGTTGCAATGAAGACTTCCTTCAGATTTCCTGCAGAAATCCCAAAAACTTACTACCGCGACCCAGTACAGCTACTTCTCTACGTACTTCACCAAGCCTAGAACCACAATTTCCAAAGACACCGTTATTACAGATTGCATTTGGTGAAACCATAAAAATGTTACTTACTGATTTGGTTAGATGGGAGACCGGAGGGAATGTCGACAAAGGGGCTCTTGTAGCTTCAGGTGTCGTAAAAGGCAGGGCGTTTGGTTGTGAAATTATAGGACCAGGAATCTTCACCCAGTAGATTTTATACTTCTCAACAACTGTGACTCTGAAATTCAGTACTAATGAGATCAAACAGAACCCTGATTGTGGCCCATCATAACCAAATCAAAAAAAAAAAAGGGGGGGGGAGAAAAGGAATAAAGTAGAGACACACAACGTACTACTACCTAACAGTACTACCGCTTTTGTCTAAGGCAAATCTCCAATGACTCTTCCACCTCATCACTAAATGAACTTTACTGCTCTTACTCTCTTGTTCGCTCTCGATCTTTCTTTTCTTCTCTTCTCCTCTCTTCCTTGTCCGCTCTTTGGACATACTCACGGCAGTCCTGAATGCCAGATCTAGGGACTAAACTGCACAGATTTCTAATCCCTGACGTATAAAGAACACACTACTACTACTACCCATTTCAGAATGTGCTGTTCAAATTATTCCACAGGGCATGTGTAGCAGGCAGCTACGGGGAGAAGCTATTCTATATAGCAACCATCAGCTTGTACTGGTGCCACAGTCCACACAACACACATGTGCGAAGCTGTGTTACTGTGTGCTGGGACCTGTGTGCAAAGTGGAACAAAAAACAGAGACGTGCCAAGAGAGCAATTCTCCTTAAAACATATGCCTCTAACACCACTCAGGAATATCAGACTGCTTTTCGACAGTCCACTTCCCCTTGCACGTCGAAGTAAGGACTTCGAATTCTACCAAATTTCATAATTCTGAGGGCATGCACCATCTTACTTTTCTGGCAATCTAATCTGCAAGTTGTAACACTACAAAAAAGTCACCCAAATTTCAGGATTTTTTTTTCATATTCTCCTCTTAAGACAAGAGCAAATCAAAAAAAAAAAAAAAATGTATCAGTCCATACACCATATTAAGTATTAATAGTAGTAACTGATGCCTCTTAGTTTGAAGGCACTGCAATATTTCACTCATTCAACCGATGTCTATTAAGTGCCTATTAGGTGCCAGGTCCTGTGCTAGGTGGAAAAAAATCAAACAAAAAGCAAAATGACTACTTATCTCACTGACGTGGTGTCATTACTACACCAAACCTCTCCTGTACAGGTAAATGTCCAATAGGTATCAAAGATGATATAGACAGGGCGCCTGGGTGGCTCAGTTGGTTAAGCGACTGCCTTCGGCTCGGGTCATGATCCCAGGGTCCTGGGATCGAGTCCCACATCGGGCTCCCAGCTCAACAGGAAGCCTGCTTCTCCCTCTCCCACTCCCCCTGCTTGTGTTCCTGCTCTCGCTGTCTCTGTCTCTGTCAAATAAATAAATAAAATCTTTAAAAAAAAAAAAAAAAAAAAAAAAGATGATATAGACAGTTATTGTTTCAATTTTACTAGTTGCAGATTTGTAAGCTCTCCTACTCACAGAAACTTTACGTGATCTGGAGCATCGCTTGGAGCATTCCAGTAGACTTTAATTTTTGTTTTCTTGGATGGACTTGTGTGACTCACAGCATATCCCTGAAATAAAATGGAGAAGAACTACCATTCAGTCACTCAATAGTTGAGCATGGCTGGAACGACTATCATTTTGCAAAGTAATCTATCACTGGGTGATGCTGACACCCTGGTAAAGACTGCTCTACTTAGAACAGGGACTCAGGAACTCAACAAATACATGTTGGCTAGTGGATACCAGATTAGCAGCCGGCTCTGTGAATAAATTAGAGTCCACAGAAATTTAACAACTGCAGAGGGTTATGAACACTGGGTATGTTAATGCTATATAGGGCCTGCTCCTTATTCATTTATACTATAAATTTATATTCCTTCCATTAATAGGAACAAAGAGAACACAGAAAAGTCATCAAAAGAAAAAATTCCTGCCCCCACATACATAGCACTATATTTTAGGAATACCTTCCCCTTGAACAATCTCATTTCCCACTTTCACTCACCTGGCAAATTCCTACTCATTCTTTGAGGCCTGATGTGGAGACTACCTCCTCCAAGGAGCTCTCTCTCAATTTCCTCCAGCCTGTGTGTGACTTTCCCTGCTATGCTTCCTACCCATCCTGTGTGTTTCTAATCTAAGTCTACTTAGGTGTTCTTGTATATCTGTCCTATATCCTTATGTTCTACTTATGTATCATACATCGTATGTCCATATGTTCTACCTATGTGTAATGCTCTGAGCTCTTCAAAGAACAAGTCGAGCTGCTCATCACCATATCACACTGGGACAGTTCCTGATATAATGTTTATTAAATGAATGAATGATAAAAATTAGACCTCTGTCCGACTCTAGAATCCTATCTTCAATACTAACACCCTTTATAATCAATATAATATGAGTCAATACTATATAAAATATCAAAACTCTTTAAGCTACTGTCTTTTCTAGGATGCTGATGTGTAAAAAATATATTGCAAATAGGAAAATTAGGGGGAAAGCCTGATCAGTGTGAATCCACTTAAATGTCTGCAATACACAGATAATGTCATTGTTTATCTTACAACCACCACCCTGTAGTGAAAAGATCCACGCAAACCAACAGATTTCAGACATAACACAAACCTGTACATCTTCACAGGTCAGAAGCTGTGACACCTGACTGTCAATCAATGTGAAGGAGCCAACAGGAGGGCCACTCAAATCCTCAGCAGCCCGTGCTTCTAAGAGAAAGCCTTTAAATGGTTTCCCTGACAAGGTAACTGAGAAACAAACAAAAAGACGTTTAAGAGGTTTAGCAACATCCCCAAAAGGAAACTGTTCAAAGGAGGCACTCACAGTTCGAATCTGGTGTACATATACAAAACTGCTCCAGGAGAGAAAATGGTAGAAATTATCCTGTAGCCAAAGAAGTTCTAAACTGTGTTCCACAGGACATTCACTCCGTGAGATGTCAATAGCCATTCCAAAGGGGGGGAAAAAAGGTAGGTGATGGTCAGGGAGTAGTCCATGGGGCCAAATTAGTTTGAAAAATGCTGAATGAAAGTAAATACTTGTCTCTCTATTGAAAATCGCCAAGACCTTTAACATCCTACTCGGCAGGATGAAACCCTCCGAAGTACATTATATGTAACACACGGAGGGTTCCAAATTTATTTTTCCATACGCTCTTTTTGTCAAAGTTTGTTAATATTTTGCATTTCTGGAATCACAGAAAATAGTTTGTAAAACACTGTTATAGACACACCTTTAACAGCCCATATTTCACCAGAAGAATCAGAAAAACACAAGAGTTTACATGGAACAAAGAAGAAGGGTTTATTACACCTTAAACCAGACAAAAGAAAATTTATTTTCCTCTTCTATTGAGTTAATAGTACTGTTAAAAAAGATCTATTAACTAATGATAAAACTGTACTTAAAACGTACTCTGATTGGGGAGCACATATACCACTTAAGTAATATAGTCATCGTTAGTAGTTAAACTCAAAATGAGAAGTATAAGATGGCGGTCTCTTATGAAAACAGGTGAACAGATTTAAATGACACTGTATAAATCCCTCAGTAATACAGATTCAACATACAGGAAAAGAGTGAAACTCAAAACCGAAATAGTTAATCCCAGCACAGTACCTTCGATCTGATCTCCTGGTCTGAATGTCATCTGACTCACTGAAATGTTGTGAATAGGATCCGGGTGCGCAGTATGACCATGTTCAGGAACCATTCCACGGCATGATGTTCCTACTTTTCCACTGGGATAATTAGCCACAGAACTAATGTGCAGCACAAGTATGAAGGCACCAAGGGTAAATCCAAGAACTGCCATCTCAAAAAGAAGATTAAAAGCACATTATTTTCATATGTAATTAAAATATAAAGCTTTCATACCACAGAATAGTAATTCTAGATGGCTGCTTGGTGTCAACACCAAGACAGCTAACCATATTTTCAAAAATATGTAATAAAAAGAATATGATACGTGAAGTTTGACCTGGATTTGCATCTCAGCTCTACCAATTACCAATTATGAGACCTTAACCAAATCACTTATGCCTCCACTTCCTTACCTGAAAAATTAGGAAACTAACACCATCCTTTCAAGTTGTTTTAATAAAATGAAGATACAAAAAAATAAAATAAAGTTACAACCCAAAGTCTGACAAGGAAGAAAATAAATGTTAGCTTTCGTTAGCATGATTTGGAAATAATAAGCCAGTCCACTAAAAGCGAAAGATTCTATTCTACTTTACCCTAGGAAGCTTAAAGAACAAATAAGAAATGTTTCTTCTGGATTTAAATACCGTCATCTAAATAAGTCTCTGATATGACTTCTCCCAATTTCCCATTAAATTAATCATGACAGGGGCGCCTGGGTGGCTCAGTCATTAAGCGTCTGCCTTCGGCTCAGGTCATGATCTCAGGGTCCTGGGATCGAGCCCCGCATCGGGCTCCCTGCTCAGCGGGAAGCCTGCTTCTCCCTCTCACACTCCCCTTGCTTGTGTTTCCTCTCTCGCTGTCTCTCTCTCTGTCAAATAAATAAATAAAATCTTTTTTAAAAATTAATTAATTAATTAATCATGACAGGGTGGATAATTTAATTTGCAATACTGAAAACTAAGGATAACAGAGAACCAATTGCAAGAAACAATATTTCTATTACCCATAGCCCAGTTACTTCTGAATTAAGAAACACCATTGTCAATCCAAGCAATATTCTTCTTTTTTTTTTTTTTTTAGATTTTATTTATTTATTTGACAGCGAGAGACACAGCGAGAGAGGGAACACAAGCAGGGGGAGTGGGAGAGGGAAAAGCAGGCTTCCCGCGGAGCAGGGAGCCTGATGCGGGGCTCGATCCCAGGACCCTGGGATCATGACCTGAGCCGAAGGCAGACACTTAATGACTGAGCCACCCAGGCGCCCCCCAAGCAATATTCTTCTCTCATCCAGTTTACCAGCCTCTTACCATCTGCCTAACAGAAAACTAGCTACTTTACGTCAGTCCCACCCTCTTGTAGCCTATAACAATCACTTCACTTGGTCCTTATATTCAGAACCTGCAAATCACCGCATATAACAAGGCTAGAGGAGGATGGCAGGGACATGTTACATAGCAGTAAAAAAAAGTCAGCTTATGGAGAGGCTGCAGATGGGCAGAACCCAAGGAGCAGCTCATTCTCCATAGAGATGGAGTTAGACAAAATAAAAGCACCCCTAGAATCACTAGAATAAATTACTCTTTTATGGTCACATAAATTACAAACCCCACACTGAACCAGCACTAAACTGCAGGAATTCCTGCTAGACACCAGAAATTATGCTGGGGGCTACACATTTCAACCAGCCCTGCACCTTCCACCAGTAGCTATAAGGAGATAGTATAGGGTCCAATGGTACCACATACCCCTATCTTTTATCAAACATCAAATCTAGGTAGGAGTTTTTCCCATTTAAGGATAAGCAAAAAGAACAAATAAACAAATCAAGAGTGTCTGAAAAAAAATGTATAACATAAGAGAAGCACAAAATTTCTCTATAGAGTCCTAAGAAAAACAAAATTTTGAAAATGGTTAATTACTGTAAGAAACAGTATTTAGGAAAATAACTGTCTTAAACATATTACAGTGATTTATAACAATTATTTCTCAATAAAACTGGGAGAAAAAAAAAAGAGTACTAAAGAGTGGAGCAGTAGGAGAATTTTTCTATTCAAACATGGCTTTCGTGTGGTTTTGTCAGGGGCGGACCTGCTTTTAGGACCAGGCAAGATTTGCTGGAGACGATCAAGGTCATAGTTTTTTAACCATGTGACCTTAGCCAAATTATTATGAAGGTTAAATGCAGTAATGTGCCACTCAACTAAAGGATGGTATAGGGGAAGAGTCAGCCCAGTTTAGCAAATATTTATTTGGCACTGACTTCCTGCCAGGTCAAAGTGGAAACAAGACGTGATTTCTAATCTCCGCTATGCGTTGTTTAGCTGAACGACGTCAATCCACTTACTTAATCTCTGTCTCAGCTTCTTCATATGTGAAATATAATAGATGAACCAGAATAAATTCAGGATCACCTTCATGCCTAACATCATGATTTTAAGAAAGTCAAGTGGGGGGAGTCACCTGGGTGGTTCAGTCCGTTAAGTGTCTACGGCTCAGGTCATGATCTCAGGGTCCTGGGATGGAGCCCTGCCTCTCTGCTCAGTGGGGAGTCGCTTCTTCCTCTCCCTCTCCCTCTGCGATCTCTCTCACTGTCGCTCTCTCTCACTCTTGCTTTCCCTCAAATAAATAACATATTTTTAAAAAATAAATAAATAATAAAAATTTAAAGATTAAACAGGAAGGAAGGAAGGGTGGGAGGGAGAGAGGGAGGGAGGGGGCAAGGAAGGAAGCCAAGTGGGAAAGGCTATTAGGAATTATCAAAGCAAGAAGTGAAGTGTAAGCCCAGAAAGGGAAGTGACCAAGGCGCCACCACCGCCTGTCAATCATTAGGAAAATATAACAAATGTAGTCAGGGAGAGAAGTAAACCAGCAATTTCTTTATCCTTGGTCAGATGCTGACCATGAAGGGTGAAGCTCTATTTGCATTACAATGGCTACTGACGGATTTTCCAGTTAATGATTTAAGAAACAGCCTTTTTTCAAAGTAATACTTTAATTCATTAGCCAACCTATGCCAACAGACTGCATAGTTATGAAAAGAGAATCAGAAGTTATTCATGGAATCATTTAAGTTAAAATTATGTAACGTGGATAATGAACTATATTATACTCTGTTATGAGGTCTTCAAGCACTGAAAAACTCGCACCAATTTTGTGGGATTCTTTGAAGTTTTTCATATTCGGGGCGCCTGGGTGGCTCAGTCGGTTGAGCGACTGCCTTCGGCTCAGGTCATGATCCCGGAGTCCCGGGATCGAGTCCCGCATCGGGCTCCCGGCTCAGCGGGGAGCCTGCTTCTCCCTCTGACCCTCCCCCCTCTCATGCTGTTTCTCTCTCCCTCGCTCTCTAATAAATAAATAAATAAAATCTTTAAAGTTTTTCATATTCATATTCGACGGTGGGTACAATAGAGAAGATAAAACAAAAGTATCACAATTTGCATTTTGTCGTCCCAAAGATAAACCAATTAGTTTAAAAAATTAGAAGAGAAGTTATCCTGATTCTCTAACTGAAATATTCCCAAACCTGATATTTACATAGTTTTCTTTCTTGCCTGAAAAACAGGCATTTAGTAAAAAAAAAGTATGACTGCTTATATCATGTTCTACATACATCTCAAAGATAAAACTTCAAAACAAATGTATTCTTTATTATTTAAATACCAAATTCTTGTATTTGCATGAATATTTAATTAATATTGTGATTGTGGACCACAGAGGCAAAGTGATATTAATCAAAACAATATATTTAATTAAAGCAAAGTAAAATTCAGATAAAATGAGAAGAATCCAATTGGAAAACATTTAGGTGTAAGAAAATGATTAGAATAAAGAGTCTGTGTTAAGAATTTTTTTTAACAAATTAGTCATTAAATGTCTTTTTATTGTGTCACTCCAAGAACATGTGAGAAAAAGAAGAAATGGAGGAGAGCATATCTTTTAAAACCATGTCAGATGATTAAGCTAGCAAATAACTAATCAAGTCTAGTTATACTGCAATCAAGCTCTAGCTCTTGTTAATCATTCATTCTAAATTAAGGCATCAAAAAGTTCAAAAGTTAACATTCACACAAAAATTGTAGGAACTCGGGGTGCCTGGGTGGCTCAGTCGTTAAGCGTCTGCCTTCGGCTCAGGTCATGATCCCAGGGTCCTGGGATTGAGCCCCGCGTCGGGCTCCCTGCTCCGCGGGAAGCCCGCTTTTCCCTCTCCCACTCCCCCTGCTTGTGTTCCCTCTCTCGCTGTGTCTCTCTCTGTCAAATAAATAAATAAAATCTTAAAAAAAAAAAAAAACTGTAGGAACTCAGGCCAGTAACACTCAATCTACAGTACCAAGATATGAGTATAAGCACACAGTGAGAGTCTTAATCAATGCACAGCTATGGGGTAACAAGGTTTCTTAATTATGGGGAATGAGTTGTTAAAAAAAAAAAAAAACTTAACCAGAAGGGTTCACTATAAAATATTTAAATAATTTAGAAAAGGTTGGTTTGGGGTTTTTTTTGGGGGGGGGTTGCTATATGCAAGGAATTTATGTAATTTTTTACCATATTCAGATAAGAAAAATATGAAATATTTTTACATTATGACCCAACAAACATTTCAAGAGATATTATTTACCTTTACCACTTGGGATAAATTCATACATTTTCTATTCCTTACTTTTTTTAATGTTGGTTTTATCTATCCTACTGAATTGTACAATCTATCAATTGATCTTAACCTGCAGTTTGAAAAATACTACTTTAGAGCATATACAAACCATTAAGTTTCAGCCTTGAATCAAGCTCTAAGTTAGGAGTATCGAGGATTTCAGTAAAAAAGGAGAGTTCTCAGAACCAAAGAAAAATAAGCCAAGCAATAGGGAGGATCTTGGAAATAGGAGATGGACTTATTCAATGAAAATGTCCTATTCTCTTTTATCCCATTTGTGAACCTAAACAGAAACTATAAATACAGCTAATAAATGAGCATTCTCACGATGACCTTCTGCATGAGAAAAAAAAATTTTAATTAATCATAGCATACAAACACTGCAATCCCTAAAGCATCTAAACATTCCTTTCAGAATTTCCATCAACTGCATTCCACAATGTTCAAAGTAAATAACTACTCCTTACTCAATATAGTTTTCATTTTATTTTATTACTAGAATTACAATGGCATTATTTTCT